CCGTTTGCCTTTCCCTGCGCAGATACATGTGCGTCTACAGCTATTAAATGTCTGTGTGAGTTATTCTATTTGTTTGGCACGCCTGCATATGTACATTCGGATCGTGGCTCCTCATTCATATCTGACGAACTGTCCACATTCCTACATGACAGGGGAGTTTGCACCAGCCGAACAACTTCTTATAATCCCCAGGAGAACGGGCAAGTCGAACGCCTCAACGGGACACTCTGGAACGCAATCCAGCTTAGACTCAAGACGAAAGGCCTCCAAATCTGTCACTGGGAGTCGGCTCTATCAGATGCCCTTCACTCTGTACGGTCCCTTCTCTGCGTCTCCACGAACGCCACTCCACATGAACGGATGTTCCGGTTTGAACGTCGGTCATCCTGTGGTTTATCTATACCAATTTGGCTCACTGTTCCAGGACCTGTTTTACTGAAGAAATTTGACCGTGCCTCAAAGTATGAGCCCGTCGTTGAGGAAGTCCAACTTATAAATTGCAATCCACATTACGCCCGTGTTCGTTTTCCCGGCGGGAAAGAAAGCACTGTATCCGTCCGCCATCTCGCTCCTTGTGGTGAGCGCACACATGTCAACGATTTCACGCGTACCTCATCCAATGAAGACAATGGTGTTCATGCACCCCCTCTATCTGACTTGCACACGCCTCCGCTCAATAACATTGGACATGATATCGATCATACTTCAGTCTCACCCCCGTGCCCGGGCAATGCACCTGCATCTCCAGATACATATGACCCTAGCATCTCTGATTTAGCCAGGCTCCAGCAGCGCACACGGCCCTACATTTTAAGAAATCGAGAAGCCTAACCACACTCATTATTACTCATTAGATTTTTACAATCATTCATCCAATACCTGTACCCAATTTATCCCTCTCTACACACAATCCAACGGCCAGGGTGAATGTCATGAATATTCTTTGTGCTCACATTATCGTTTTGTATTAACCATGTTTTCGCCCTCATTTTCAGCTTATGTACGTCTATTCTTAGACATGTAAAGCGCTATTCATTCTACGCCATTCATTCTTGTTCTCGCGCTCAATCAGAATCGATATTCTATTCGTAACAGTGGTCAACACTGGTGCATCGCAATAATCATTATTATTAATCTACCAAATAAATCTGGTTCCTGAGCGATGGTGCCAACCATAATTCGGGATTGCCAACAACATTCTTCCTACACAAATTCTGCGGGGCAATCTTATTC